GGCGATGCTCGTCGATGGCCATGCGTTCGTTCTCCTGGAAAATGTCGAGGATCCAGGTCTGCAATTCATCTGCTGAACGCTTTGGCACCGTTAACCAGCCCGTGATGAACGTGAGCAACATGACCGCACCAGACTGTCTGAGGACCCCGGCCACAAAGTCACTGACGGATAGGGGCGCCCCATTCCACATGACAGCAAACGAAGGATCTGTCGGCTGGGTCGTGAGACCCGCCTGAGCAAGCGCAATCGAAGCTGAGGGGAAGTAAACGATGCGTGCACCGTTCTTGTTGAGCTCAGCAGCGTCTTGGCGTGCCATCCTCCGCTGCGCGAAATCCCTTCCAGGATTGGGAATGAAAGCTTTGGCCAAGAGATCCATTACCAAAACATTCCTGCGCACTTTACCCATGCGTCCCATGGCTGTGAGGAACTTGTCGTCCTTATGGTATCGGTCCAAAATGGAGGTGTAGCCTCTCTTGATGGCATTGGCATAGTTTTTGCGTGCGTTGTCGATGGTGTCAGCCTCGAATGACCGACTGCCGCGGATGTGCACATCCGCCATACCACCTAGGTCTGAGGCAGTGGCATCAGGCAGGCGTTGGCCGAATCGCTGATAGAGCTGACCTTCCAATTCTCGCCTGCGGAGGTTCAACTTGAGGTGGTGGTTTCGACCAAGGAGATACTCGAGGCAGGGCTGAAGTTGTTTTACACACAGTCCGAAGGAGTGCTCTGTCGTAGTGAAATCCCCGCCTACACGATTTTGCAAGTCCGCGACACAACAAGGGATGAAGAGATCCTCTACATCAAGGCATTCCCCGAAGCAGAGCCGGAGCCTGAGCTGGATGCGCAACAGGAACCAACCGACGAGATCGAAGAGATCGAGGTTGAGCCTGAGCATCCGGAAACACCCAGGGCTTCTACGGCGTCAACTGCTCCTGCCCCAGAACTGAGCCTCCCTCAGGGGAGCGCCGCAGCTGAGGCCGACGTGGAAATGCATGCAGAGCTCGAACAGTATCCTACACCACGTGCAGCAGTTCCGGGAGTGCCAGCCTACTCGGTGGAAGCGCTGGACGCAAGGGAGGACCTCGTGAAGTGTGCTAGCTGCCCTGCGTATCTCATCAAGGGCGTGATGGTATGCTTCAGCTGTGGAGCTCAGGTTGCCGAGAGGGTGCAGCGCCACTGGGTGATCGGCCCTCACCCCCGATGTCCCGTGCTGCATCTCTTCAAGCGGCCTGTCAGCAAAATACACATGCATCTTGCCTGAGTCCCGATGCCCTGGCTTGAAACCCTGGTTGAGGATGGAGATTGCGGCGTCCTTGGTCGTGCGATGGTGGAGGTGCCTGGGGCAATCTTCCCACGCCAAGAACGGCACTCCCCTAAGGGAGGCGTCTTCCATCTCTCCGAGTTCCTCGTTGGTCTTGAGGCAAAGCCAAGAAACAGCAATCTGCGCATCGAGCTCCTCAGGCTCCATTCCAGAAAGGTCTTGGATATTCTGGGGATGGCCTTGCACTGCTGCAACTTCAAGAGGATAGCATGGGAGACAAACAATGGCAGCACGTTTGTCATCTTCGGGTCCGGGGCCACGGAATTGCAAACGTCCTTTGTTGTCATGTTTTGCCAAGCGTATGAGGGCCCCCACGCCCCAACCACCTTCATTCGGACAGGCTTCGTTGAATATGCGTATAAGGACCTCTTTGATCGGCACCCATATGCCGTCCCTGGTGGGGATTCTGAGGTCTACGTGCCTGCACCAGCGTGGAGACCTTTTGTCCTCGTAGTTCCCGCGTATAAGGCCAGTGATGAACTTCTTGTTGCGGTGCTCCGTATACATGTCCTTACACTGGGGCAGCATATCCTGGGTGAGGAGAACCAATGGAACATTATACCTTGGGTTCATGGCTTCCTCATAGTCAGCTATTCCAGAGCACTCAGCGACGGCTTAGTCATCATCTGTGCTCCAACCAAACTTCCAGGACGTGACAGATCCGGCGCTCCCCTGAGGGAGGCCCTCTGCCTGAGACTGCTGCTCTGCGCGGGCTCTCTTCGAGGATGCTGTTGAGGATGCTGCTATCTCACGCTGCTCCGTGGTGGGGTCGTACGAGCGGTACTCGGCAATCTCCTTTAGCATCTCATCCTTAGACTGTTTGGCGAGGAGTTCGGCTCCCACTTTCGTGGGGCGCAGAGTGCGGGCCTCTTCCTCAGCGGCGTAGCGCCCATCACCCAAGTGCACAAGAGTATCCAACTCCAGCTGCATCACCTCTTCCGGGATGACAATCTCGGACATAGCCTCGGCAATGCGATGTTCTGCTTCGCGTGCACGGGTGACTTCATCTTGCGCTGGCGCATCCCAAGGGTTCTCATGGACCTGCCTCTGCATCGTAGTGATGGCGAGCAATGTTCGTAGCCTTTTCCAGATGATACTTGTAGAGATCCATGTTGATGAACGCGGGGTATCGACCTCCAGTAACGAAAGGATACAACAACTCAAGATCTCCAAGCTGCTCAAGGCTGAAGTGGCGAAGACGATGATCGCAATGGTACAGATTCGTCAAGCGAGCGATTCTGCAGGCAAACGATCTACGAACTTCTGCCGACTCCCTGAGATGAAACTCATCGAACATTGCCTGGCCAGCGAATGCTGCCGTGATGTCACTGACGAGGATATCCAGGCTTTTGGCAAGCCGGAAAAACATATCGTTGACATCATTCATCTTGTTGGGCAGCTGAAACGTGGAGGCTTCGATCCCACCAAGCAGCGCCAGAAACCCTGTTGACGGCCGTCCCCTGAGGGAGGCGTATGTCCCCAGCGCTCTGCTGACACGATCCGCAATAGTGGGCCAGTCCCCTTTTGCTGTCATCACGCCACCTTTTTGTTCCACAAGCCAGTTTGGAATATTCGGGTGGAGGAAGATGCCATCATCGCCTACGAACTCGTTGCCGGACCACACGATGTGATAGTCTATTTCGAGATGTTTTCCGGTGAGAGGACCGGCGTACCTTCTCTCCAACTCGTCTGAAAGTTCGAGTGCTTTCTTGACCAGCGTAGGCAACGTCTTCCCCCACATGGGGTGGTACTCTATCACAGCATAATTACTGAGTAGATCCCGACGAAGACCCTGGAGATCACGACCCAAATCAGTAGTGGCGCGCCTTCCAGCTCTCAGCATCGTCGTGCTGTCGGTAACCACCACAAGGGCCTTGAGCTTGCCTCGCACTGACTCCGGGCAGATGAGAGCGAGACCTTCATCAGACACATTCGCCAACAGCGGCAACCGCTGAAGGTCGATGTCTTTCGTGCACATAGCAAGGGCCAACTGGGCTGGTATCCCACGATACAAGTTGTTCATTGCTGCAGCATGGATTGGCTGGTCATCTGAATCGACCAACTCAGCCGACCACACTGCTGCCCAAATGGTTCCGTGCCAGCACACAAGGTTCAATGAGCTCCCCTGTCCTGCTGGAAGCACTCCGCTCACGCCGTCCTTCAACTGGATGTGGGACATGCTGGCCACTGGCTTCGGCTCTTTTCTGAGGAAGGCGCAAGCGCAATGGCTGGTCTGGCGCGGCTGCGACTCTAGCTTACCCGGTATGGTATCCCTCCTATACGAAGTGCTCTTACCACATGGAATGGCCTGTTTGAAATCCTTATGGATAGCATCCGTCATAAGGTAGGAATAGCCTTCAGCAAGCTTAAGCGCCTTACCTCTACTCTCGCCGTGAGAGCGGGCGCCGTCGCACTCACCAATGTCCCTGATATGTGGCAGCGGAAATGAAGACATGAGCGTCCACTGCTTCTTCAATGGTTCACCTTTATCATTGGTAATCCCTGCCATGCAACCGTCGCAATATTCAGGGTGCAATCCATGTTGCTTCACAAACTTCATGACCGATTCCTCTTTCCAATAATCACAAGTTCTGGGTAACTCCATGATGATTTGAGGGTTGTGTCGCTTGAGAAGTTTGATAAGAGAGCAAAAGGATCGAAACAATCTTTTGAAAAGCGCACGGTGCTCGGCAACTAGTTCGGGATTGTTTTGGATGTTCATGTGTTGCCAGCTACTACCCCCAGTACACGGGAGCGACGCAAACAGAAGTGCATCAATCCCCCCTCGTCGCAGAGGGTATGTATTTCTTGAACAAGTCGTCTGATTGTTTGGGGTTTAGTAGCATCATCCTCTTCTGTAACTCGGAGGATGTGGCATCCCTTGGCTGCAGCGCGCTCTTCACCTAGTTTTGAATTGGGCGAACAACAAAACTCCACTATGACCCTGTTGCAATTCGGCCTCGTCATGAGACGGGCGCTGGCGGCTGAAGCAGCGGGGTCCGGCGGGAGCCTAAAATGAAGGTCATTGAGGATTCCAAGGTCGTTAGTAGTGAGCTTGTGGAAACTACGGGACGTGTAGGCGGTTAACGACAAGCGGGTTCCTTCATGAGGCAACACGCAATGCGTGTGTTTGGGCGCAAACAACACAGGCTTGTGCTTGGATGCAATCGTCCGCCCTTTCAGCGTATTCCCTGCGGCATCCTTTTGGTAAACTGCGTACTTGTCTGAAACAGTTGGATCCTCGATCCAAAGTTCCCCCCCTGAATGGTTGCCACATGAAACCAAGAAATTGTACGAATCCTCCTGATTGCGCGAATCACGGTGAACACCAACCTGAGTCTGCTTGCTCGCAACCAGTGAAGTCCATGTGAAATCCTTGGGAGCATGATGAGCAACGAAGGAACAAAGGTAACCACAGATCTCGCGGTTCTTTTGCGACAAGTGAGTTACGCCTTGGAGTCCACCATGTACCCATTGCCCAAAAACATGGTAAAAGGCCTGGCCATCTTTAGATTTGATTGCTCTGCGCCGCTTGCGGGTTTGAAAGACATGCAAAGAATCAATTACTTCTTGCAGTGCTTTATACGAAAAATCCTTAGACTGCAAACGCTGGAGCGCTAATTCCTGAGCGACGACCTTAGCAGACGGCTCGGTGCTGACACCGGCGCAGACGTATGGCTTATGGCCTTGAGAGCAAGTGGGAATCGCTGTCCTTAGCGGGTTTACCCCCCTGATCTCCGGTCAAGTTGTGGTTGATCAACCTGAGCGCATGCAACCACTTCGTCCTATCTGCAAAAGGCTTAGTGAAAATATCAGCAACCTGCTCCTTAGTGTCAACGTTGATCATGTTGAAAAGACCGCGTTCAAACTGTTGCCGAAGCCAGGCGAAACTAATCCTTTGGGTTTTGTCCGTGTGCCTGAGCTTCTCACTGTCACCTTTCAAAATGATGGTGATGGTGGCTTGGTTATCCTCCATCAACTGCACCTTGAATTTGTCACTCAAGTGAACGTTGAGACTGTTGAGGTTGGCAACTGATCTTCCACCAACATCCGCTCCTCCATAGCGTATTTCGTCAATCTCTGGATCAAACTTGGTAAGAAAAGGAATTGGTTCTTGTGGGTCCCTTGCTTTCGGCTCGGCCTTGCGGCCGGCACTGGAGATCACCTGTATCTCTTTCCACAGAAAACACCACAGTGAGAGACTGGGAAGTCCCTGCGCGCGTATTCCGTGATTGGCAGATACAACCTCACTCGTAGTGCTGGACGTGGTGATGCTTGTCTGCTTCTTTGAGAAAGCGTTGAGAGGGTAATATGTGTTGGGTCCTACGAGGTAAAGGGCGCAACCAGATGTTGACTTAGAGTCAAACTCTCCGGCCCAGTCAGCATCGCAGAATAACCAAAGTTGACACTCGTTAACGCGATCCCCTATGAAACCTTGCATCCTGACATCCAAGCTCGACAAGATGTAACAGACTAGTTGATGGAGAACGACATCACAATCCCTCGACCACTTCGTTACCCGGCTTGCAAGGCTTTGTGTGGCTCTAAGTAGGTCCCATCTTGCCATCTGTGCCGCCAAAAGGATCTTCATGAGAACCCTACTAGCAATTGGCTGAAGACGGCCAGCAGGCTCATTGTCATCCACAGGTTTAGCTATCCTATTCTCATGGAACGGAGTGGCGACCTTCTTGAGCGTTTTGCGATCAACCTTAGCAAGTTCGCAATACCTATCAACACAGGACGAAAGGAATTCTTTCGTGTCATAGGTCATGACGTTTACAGGCTTGTTCATGGCAGGAACAGGATCAGGTTGTATGGTACTTGGGTCTTTGAACTTCTGCTGCTTGGCTTCTCGCTTCGCCTCAGTCTTGCTTCTAACTCTGCCCTCGGCAGCAGCGGCCATTTCGGTAGGGGTAAGAGAATCAACGATTGGGAAATAGGTCTTACCCGTCCACCATTCTTTCTGTTTAGCGGCTCCCCCCTCGTTGAAGTCATCGGTGATGGTTTGGCCGTTGTCCATCTGGGTAATCCTTTGAGTGCGCATAGTGGGATACTCACCAATATCATCCTCCGTGGGAACATACAAACGCTTTCGGGGATAAAGATGATGCCTGACAACTGCGCCTAATTCGGGGTCCACACTCCAGTAGTCCTCGGTCCTAGACGGCTCGGCCCCTAGGCCGGCGCAGGCAGTTGATTCGAACACATAAGCGAAGGGATGTGCCTCACGTGGCAGCTTGACCTGTCGTTCCTCAAAGTGATTGCAACCAAAGTATCGGCCCGCCACCTCCGCTGGATCCATGTCGATAACACTGGATATCATCTCCCAACCTTTTGCTAGGTGGTCTGAAGGACCAGCCATTTTGAAGTCATCCACATAAATCACCAACAACAGATCTAGCTCAGCGTGGTAGAATATGGATTGCCATATCTCAGGAAGGACGGCTGTCCAACCAACCTTTTCGAGTTCTTGTTGGCAATGTCTTTCCCATAATCCACCTGAATCGGGATGTCCACACAATGCTAACCTTAATGGACATACAGGATCATGCATATTCTGCCACGCAGCTGGCCATCTATTCTTTGGCAACCTCACCCAAGTTTCAACTCCGTCAAACAATGCGTGAGTATATGCTTGTCTAGCATCACTTTGTTGTTTACTATACCCAGGCTGGCTTCCAAACACATCAATAATCTTTCCTGCCTCCATCGATGCGGGACTCGAGCTGAGTTCTGAAAAGATAGCGTGATCGTTATATTCATCAGCAACCCTGTTGCACTGAAATATGCTCCGCCCTTTCCATTTCTTGTTCGGGTCCCCATCGGGCAGTTCAGATCTCTTTTGACTGCAAATCTCGAAAATTCTACCGAAGTGAGCTTTGGTACCATCTTCCTGATGTTGTTTAGCCACAACCAACATGCCTTATCAGCTAATTTCTTCCACTCTTTGTCCATTGCCGCCTTTGCATCAGGGGTTCGGTCAACCTCTGCCTCAGAGACGAGACGTGCAACAAGAGCGAGCTGATGATTCGCGACTTCACCCAGCTTATCCCAATAGAGATGAAACAACCTCTCCTGATGGGGTTCTTTGGGTGACTTATGGATAACGGGCATGGCTGGTGATTCTGCTTCAGCTTCCTTACGTTTTCTTTCTTCTTCAAGTTCAAGCTTGCACTGGTACCTAACAATGTCTTCCTCTCGTTGCTTTGGGGAATACATGTGCCAGAACTCTGAAGGCGTGTCTGGAGGCCTCTTCGAACCTGTCTTGTTCCTGACAAGTCTGACTCCATCCCAGTTGTATCCCTTTGGAACAGGTTTTCCGGAAGGAAGTCTGGCGGGGTCATGCATAGGAATAGGAGGTTTCACCTTTGAAGAGGAAGAAGCTTCGGCTCCACCCTTAGGTGGGCGCTCGTCTTCTTCTTGGCCTATGTCCGCGCCTTCATCCCTGAGTTCTCTACCAGCAGCTGCTTCATCAAGTAGGCGTTGGAATTCGTCACTAGACATCTTGCTTTGCAAACTCTCGACTTCCCTGATGGGTGCCATGAGCTCATCACTAAGCTCTGTGCCTTTGAGGTCTTCGTAAAAGTCAACAGTTTCTGGCTGGTCCTGAGCAAAGCAATTCTGATCGTCTAGCGTTGGGACGCGCCTTGCGTCGTCAAACTCGAGTTGCTCCTGTTGGCATGGGAAAGTCAAGTCGCCTGGCAAGAGCTACGCTTCACTCGGATTGCTTTGAACGTTCCGTTCTCAATATTTTCAAGGGCGTCCTTGACAGGGGTAATGAGATACTCCCTTTTGAACACAAACCCTGGCTGAATGTGATAACCGAGAAAGATACCTTCCTGACCAGTGGGTGCAAACTTGGAGGCTTCCACAGCATTCTGCTTCGGATTATTCCAAAATAACACCTTGGCACCGAAAGGGATTTGGGGCCCGTCGAAGATAGCTCCAAATCGGCTCTCCCATGGGGAGGCGTCACAATCAACCCTTGGATTTATATTTAGTGCAACGCAATGGCGCTGAGCGGCCAAAGGCCACATCTTGTCAGGCAGCCCTGCCTGAGTAAGCGCCGCACGCGTACCTTCGAGCACAGTCCTGATTTCGCGTTCGATTACTGCCTTGTTTTCATCACTGTACTCTCGGGATGTGTTGCGGCGGATGCCTAACTTTTTCACGGCATATTCGAGTTCTGGGGCGTTATCAGAGTAGATGACACCTATCTCATCATCAACCCCAGTGAAGTGCAACAGATTTTCGTAGCACTGTTCACCTTCTTTGGTGGCATCAGGGCACACATACCTGAATTTGGTGCAAACATCCTTAACTACGAACCCCACGTTCTGGTCGTCAAAACCATAGTCCCTAAGATCCCTGGCGATGATATGGTCAATTGTGAGGTGATCACCATACTTCTCGGACTTGATGGTTGATGATCCCCCAAGCTTCCGCGCACGCGGTGCCATCATCTTGGCCCTTTGGCAAACTGGGCAATAAGGATTCTTAGGTCGGTGGGTCATAAGATGTTGAACGCTTTCGGCTTCGGCTCTGAGTCTTTCTTCAGGGGTTTGAGGATCGGCTTCCCGGTCGCTGTCCGGAACCTCTTCTTCGCTTCCAGGGCTGCGCTCGAAGATCGTGATTGACATCACGGTGTAAACCTCAAGCTTTGCTGCCCTGACATCGAGCTCTTCGATGTTAACTTTATCCTCAATTCTGCTCCATTCGCCATCCCTGAAAACCCATGTAGGATGCTTAGGTGTCGGCGTTCGAAGCACTTTAGGTTTATGCCCTATTAGAACATTCTCCAGACCAGGGTGCGATACCCAGCCTGGTTTCATCAGCAACCTGCGATTGATTGCAATTGGGGGTTCTGCAGCAATTGCAGTTCTGATTTCAGCATCTGGATGCGCTTCTCGTGGTTCTTCCTCATCCACCTCAGAGGCAGCGGCGGCACTCCCGCTAGGGAGGCACTTTAGCGAAAACCCGAAGTGAGAACGGGCTGCGTTGCCGCCCTGTCCTCCGGCTCATCCTTCTTTGGTTCGGACTCGCTCGCGGCAGATGCCCACGAATCTAAGTCGCCAATGACTGGCACTCTACCCCGCATCCTGCAACGGAGCTTTCGCCCATTGGGCGTGATGAAATACGGGGCTTGTCCCCTTGGCCAATGAAAGTCGAAACCCTCATCCATGCACCTTCTACCCACGGAGCAAACCGGAGGCGTATTTTCCAGAAGGTAAAACTCAAGATCCTGTCCAAACTCGGGAAGCGGAATGCTAACAGATTTGTTTCTCTGAACTGGCCCGTTTGCCGTGATGAGATGTACTTGCTTTGACGCATCAACAATTGGAACGCCGGAGAAGTACGTTGCATGATCATGCCTACTGATTAAATCTTCTTCACTCCCGGTATCAGCAAGGAACTCAAGGCCATTCGTGGAAACGCATGACATCTTCAGGGTGTTCTTGCAATGCTGGCAAGTTGGCCCTTCATCTTCTTCGCATTCATATTCACATGCGGACTCAATTCCTGCCTTCATGGATTCAACCACCCTTTCTAATATCCTTGCACTTTCGATTGCGTAGCGCAGATCGCGACAATCTGGCCTTGGGCAATTTTCTGATCAAGATAGCATACTGCGTATCCTCTCGGCTTCAGAGTGAGTTTGCGGCACAAACCACGAGCTCTGATTTTGTAGACCTTGGGGTTGCTATTTAATGACACTTTTCGGCTCTCCTTTGCGGAAGGCGCAGGCTTTCCCGC